ATTGTATCTTTTCCCACATTCTCAATCGTCCATTTCCCTATAAAACATTCAAATTTTTGAGTCTTCTTGACAATTATCTTGCTAGAACAACCGCAATATTGTCTTGCTAATGTTTTTTAGACAACAGTTCTTACGCGCTCAGGCTGCTCAAATCAATCATTCATCTGTTTCAATACCATTTTATCCACTCTTGCCTTTTCCTCCTAACATCCCTGAAGTCTAATCTTTTGGACAGTCATCTTGCTAGAACAACGACAAACAGTTTTTGTCGAAGTTCTAAAAAGAAAATCACTGTGCTTGCGCAAGTAGCTGCGCATATCATTTCATCTGTCTCACTATTTCTCCAGCCATAAAATAGTACTCACTCAAAATGTTGAGACCCACCTCTTTCCATTTGCTTCTTTGTTCGGTTTACAGTTCCACGGATAGCTGTTCTTACTCATTTGGTAGTAGTAAGCAGGCCAAGCTTTCTCTCTGATTTTCTTGCATTCACTACCAGGCGCAAAAAAGCACGATTTTTTGAAGCTTTTTGTTCCTCTGTTACCTGTTCATCCTTCTACTAGCATATTACGTGATTACTTCTGTGTTTTGTATTTTCACCACAAATGACGAGTGATCTTTTTCTGATAGATAAACAGCCCAGTCGTGTATCTCTAAAATGATAAGTTTCTACTCTCTTCTTGCCCTCACACTTATCATGATTTCTGCTGTCATTTATCGAAAATCGTCTAGCTCTGCTCCTAATCGGAAAATTTAGCTCGTTATCATTTTTGATCATTTTCTGGATGTTCTCGTAGCTTTCGCAACTGAGAGAGCATTCCTTCCGTTCCACTCCACGTTGGAGCTTCTCGGTGCTAGGAAGCCATAATTTTTCTGTAAGATTGAAAAGGGCATTATTCATTACGTCCATTTTTTGCTGTTGGAAGCTACCGCCAATTTCTTCTCTTTCCCCCTCTCTCTAGTGCACTCTCCTCTTTTCCAGCTGATGTTCATTTCGAACTGCATGTACCCCGTGGTCGAAACCACTTGCTGCTTGTCGATTCCGGTTGTAAAAAGCCAGTGTCGTTTTCGCAATGATGTTGCTAATCCAATTTCACATCATGCAAGGCGGTAGCGTAGCTTCAGAGAAACCTGTTCGAGGACATTTGCATGATCAGTTTTTACGGTGTGATCACGGTTTGTTCGAGACAGCTGCTTGATGACTGGTTGTAAGTCATGGAAGCTGGGAGAATGGTATGCTGCGAGGGAGCAAAAACTAGCTGAATTCCATTTCTCCGGCAATGTTATTGTCCAATTTTCAAGAGTGCAGACTTCGGTAGATACTTCTAGCTATCCCATGGACTCGCTCTGACTGGAAACTTCTGCTGCGAAAGTTGGGTTGAGTTACGGATGAGTAGGGACCTAATTCAAGATTATCTAATTTTCGGATCAACCATCTTTTCGGCACTTGTTAGACGGAACGACACTCTTTCGATGGAGTTAGTCAAGGGGAACAAATTTCCAAGGGTTCGTAAGAGATTCAAGGGAGCAGTGGCCGGAATTTTTCCTATGTCTATCACCTGGAGCATATGTTTGTATAGCGCTTCCCATACTATAAATCCACCTACTTGGGAAATTAGGGGATCTTATGGTTCTGGGAAGCCCTAGAAATTTTTTTCACGACGAAACTGAATGACAAGTGTAAAGTCGCCGCTGCGAAAAATTGCTTGTACGAAAATCTGAATTGCTAATTAGTGTTAGCTTTTGCTTTTTCGGGCATTCAGTATTCCTGAGAAACAGAATTTTTATCGTAATTTTCATCACATATAAAATTTTGACTTTACAATAGTTGATGAGTAAGGACTTATCGAAGAGAACAACTTTTTGGCAGTATCTGCCTCTTTCAGATTTTATACTTGCAAGTTTTGAAATAACCGGGTCATTTGCTCGCTTTATTTCTTGTCAGGAATCCAATCTTCCGGGTGAAAATTTCTGCGCTTTTCTGCAAACATAGGTATAGAAGAGCTGGCTGCGAATTAATATTAGATTTGAAATAATGAGAATCAACATTGTTGATTTGCATTATTGTGAAGAACATTGAAGTCATAGAATGATTGGTGATTATCTCTTTGAGCATCTTTGGAAAAGCTATCTAGCCATATTAAAAAATTGGCTAGTGTTCGAAGCTTCTTTTTCGAAAATTTTCCTTTGGCAATGAAATGCACGTGAATGCTTCGGTGCTCTTGTTTATGCCATCGTAAGCCTGGTTGCCTCAGCGTCACTGCTTTAGCCTTTGAAAGATCTGGCTTTTTATGTAATTCTTTCGAATATTTTTACTACCGTAATCCCAGAGTAATGAATGTAAAATGGTGCTTCATTCTATATTTTCATTTTATTTTTAATTCTTAAGCAATACTTAACCTACCTCCGAGTTGAAAATTCAAGGTTATTCACCTTTACACGAGCGTACATCTTATGGGGAAACCTCAACTCTCTCTTGCTTTCAAAGTAGCTGCCATTTTAAGAACTTGCCAAAGACTTTGCTATGGGGTTTTGGACAAGTTGATTCGAGAGCCGGACTTTGTAAAGCTTTGTAGAGCTTTTCATGCGGGAACCAGAATCATCTAATTAGTTCTACTTACTAGTTTATTCGCCTTCCTCCTAAGTTAATTGAGCATTTTTCTATTCTGTGGTGCAAAATCATCTTGAAGGCTCTTACCGTAATCCTACAGTAATGAGAAACGACCGCTGATTTTTTTCATCAAGACTTGAGCTGAAACCTGCCCAATAT